TGAGGTATTTCACTCAGCATAATGTCCTCCAGGGTCACCCATTTTGTATAATATTTCATGAGTTCCTTGTTTTTCAATGCAGTGTAGTATTTCATTGTGTGAATATACCACAGCTTCTCTATCCATTCTTTCATTGATGGGCACTGGGATTGTTGCCATCTCTTTGCTATTGTAAACAAAACCTCAACAAACATGGGTATGCATATATCTGCTTGGGTGGTGGTTATGATTTCTTTGGGGTATATTCCAAGTAGTGGAATTCCTGGGTCAAATGGCATTTCTATTTGCAACTTTCTAATCCATCTCTGAACTTTCTGTTATGTTTGCTCCTAAAAACCAACCTAACTTGTTCTATTTCTTAAAGACCTGTTCTCATCATAGGTAACAGTTTCAATTCACTTCAAACATAACAGATTTCTAGGATACTTCTGAATTAACTCTTTTTTGGAGGGGATTATGGTGCCTTGAACTGTCTCTGCTAAACGCAGAAGAATTGATCTAGAACTTCTGTGCTGTCTCTTCCATTTCTGATCTCATACTCTGCACTTCTTTTGGCTACAACAGCAAAGCTAATATCAACATAAAGACGCATTGCCTGCTTTGTTAATAATCACTGGGAAACATAATTAACAGTTATATTAAGACTCATTATGTAAACAGGCAATCTGCCAACATGTAAAAGTCATTTCCAACACCACATCCTCTAGGATATAAAAATTTTACCCAAGATTCTACACAGCCCTGAGGAAACGAATACTGGATTTAGGTTTGACACCTAGAACCTGAAGGCCACAGAACGGCTTTGAAATTCACAAGGTAGCCTGCTTAAAAGAAACTCTCTTACATTAGAAAGCTATGAAATCCAAAGGCATATTCCCCTTGACAACAAAAGTAAATTCTCTCTGTAGTTATTTTATGGAAGCATCTTACAAAATGGTAATTTCCAAACCCAGTATCAGGACATAGGATCTGTCAAAGAATTTTGCTCCATTTTTATCTGAAAGAGAAATTATTTGGAAGTATAAAATGTCTTTTTAATATATCAAAATATTGGAATTTCTGGGATATTTGAGTAACACATGAGCACACTGGGAAAAGTAGATGAATTTGAGACCAGTCTAGGAAAATCCACAGGTGTATGTGAACAGTAATGAACTGAGATGACTAACCCGGGGGTGTGATCAGCTTTCCTGTGGTTTTCAGAGCTTGTAAAAAAGAAAGACAAGCAAGGCTTATGTTTCAAGGAGATATCTCCTGGATATCAGGATGGTTTGACAGAGTTTCTTATTCTTTTTAATAAAAAAGGATTCCAAGTATCACTTCAAAATGTAATCCTGAGTTATAAAAATAAGTAATGTAAAGGGGGAAAAAATCATAAATCCCACTCTAATCTAAATATAGGAACTGTTACATGTGCAACTCCTGGAGATAGAAAGATCAGCTTCAATAGGCTGATAACTTAGGCAGAGAAAAACATATTTTAAAACAAAAAGTGATCCTTCAAGACCTTGAAAATTACCAGCAGGCAGATGTATAAACAGTGAATATTAATAAGATCTTCCTTATTATGTTAGGGTTAACTTTTATACCCTTTTCTTCTATTGTAAAGTAATTTTTATTTCTGTTTCTAAGTTGAACATTAAGTAAGAAATGCAAATCAATAAGAGGTTAAACAGTCAATTTCCTCAATTAATAATACACCAAGTGAAATAAATCACTTTGCTGAACTTGTCATATTGTGGAACTAAAGAAGTCGGGACATGTGGTTCTCATGTAAAGATCCTTGATTTGAAAACAGAGTCTGAAATAGAATCAATGAACATACTTCTCAAGATAAATAAATCAATTTCTCAAGAGACTCCGTCTATAAATAGTTTGGAATCATTAAACTACCCCCGGCATAGAGGATTTTGCTTTTGTATCATTACCACATTGTGATAGTTGATACTAATCATGGCTCAGAATTAAAATATTCCTTTTTTTGCATTTATTTGCATTTGCTGAAGCATCCTTTCTTTAATTTTATGTAAATGTGAAATCTACTGCATATATTTAGGAGACTTGTTAACACAAAAATTAGCTTCAAAACCATCATGTAGTTTTGCTTCTGATGCAAGTAAATGCATATTGTTTTGTCACACAGAAGATGATAAGAACCGTTACTTCATGGTTTTCAAGTCCAACAAAGATAAGTTTTTAAATTAATCAGCTGTGCATTGCCATTTTAAATATGATAGCAAACAATAAAAAAGACTCTAGAAGCCTATTCATTAAATTGAATTTTTTATTGTTTTCTAACAGCATATACAAAGTGGCGAAAAGGGGAACCATTTTTCTTCAACCAAAAGTACTGTCAGGACTCATCAAACGAGTACATTGATTCTATACTTACTTCTTAAATTAGCACTGTTGTTTATCAGAAGGTGTTTCATGTGCTGCAAAGATTGATTTCTAATTACTGCTATCTTACCGAGAGTAGAAATCTTGCTATAACTCCTTTCCTATCATATAATTATATTTTGAGGCACATAATTGTAATGATTCTAATGATGCATGTCACTTCTTGATGCATCACTCAACTCAAGGGTTGGGAGGTGTTTTCCTGTCTGTTTATTTTTGTTATGGAACAAGGTGGCAGACAAGATGAATTCTGATACTCTGAATACACAGGAAAAGTCCTCTTTTAAAAATTGTTTTATAACACCAGCATCTACATTTTTCATTGAGTCAATAAATATTTATTGACTATCCACCAAGAGCCTGTACTTGTGCTAGGAAGTTATAAATACAAAATATTATACTTCTACACCAGTAAGAGAGATAGCAAACAAAAGTATAATAAGTAGGAAAATGTGAGTACATATATGAAATAAATTACAGTGAAGGAAATAAATGATCTCATGTTATAGAGCATCATAGTATACTGAGTCAGAGCTGTTGAATTTGATGATGAAGTTTTAAACTTAGAGTTATGGTAAAGAAGGCAACACTTTATGGTGCAACCACTGTGGAAGGCTGTATGGCATTTTCTCAAGAAGTTGCAAATAGAAATACCATTTGACCTAGCAATTCCACTACTGGGAATATACCCTGAAGAGACCATAGCTGACATCCAAGCAGATATATGCACACCCATGTTTATTGCAGCTTT